ACTACTACTACTACTACTACTACTACTACTACTAGGGTTCCTCTGAGCGCCGCGCACTTTCGTCTGAAAACTTGCGGGAACTGCATCAGGATAGACGGCGCTACTTTTTCTAAACGGTGATCTCGCTCCAACGCCACGCACATGTGGCTTAAACGTTCGAAGCAACTACCAACATGGATGGCGCTTCCTCTTCGAAATGGGGTCATGGCCTTATCGCCGCACACACACTAGTTTTCACAACTTTCAGCCAGTCCCAATATGGAGGTCGGCGTGGTGTCAGAGTTGGGCTCTCGTCATGGCGCCGCCCGCAGTCGTCTGAAAAGCTTGCAAATACAAAGATGGACGATGGCTTCTTATCAGAAGAGGCAATCGCCTAACACTTCGCAACGCCTCAGCGACCCGAGCTTGGTCTGTGTGTTTAGCACCTGCACTCGTGGCACCTTCCTTTTCCCAACCATCCTGTGGTGTTGGGTCCTCGTTTTGAAGAGACGGTCCCCGCGTCTCCTCCTTCCTTCCTTCCTTCCTTCCTCCTCTCTCCTCCTCCTCCTCCTTCCTCCCTGCGTTTCACCCACCCAGTACTGCGTTTCGTGGCCCCATAGGGAGCCCCACTGACGGCCCCAATGCCACCGCCCGCATGCGTCACCCATACCCATTTCGGCACACCCCTCACACGTTTCGTGGCCCCAGAGAGAGCTCCACCGAAAGCCCCAGTGCCACCACCCGCATGCGTCACCCACACCCATTTCGGCACACCCCTCACACGGTTCGTGGCCCCATAGGGAGCCCCACCGAAGGCACCAGTGCCACCGCCCGCATGCGTCACCCACACCCATTTCGGCACACCCCTCACACGGTTCGTGGCCCCATAGGGAGCCCCACCGAAGGCACCAATGCCACCGCCCGCATGCGTCACCCACACCCATTTCGGCACACCCCTCACACGTTCCGTGGCCCCACAGGGAGCTCCACCAAAGGCGCCAGTGGCTGCGTTCGCATGCGCCCACAGCACCCATTTCGGCACACACATCACAAGCTTCGCGGCCCCATAGGGAGCTCCACCGACGGCCCCAATGGTTGCGTTCGCATGTGCCCACCGCACCTCTTTCGCACACCTCTCACGCGCTTCGTGGCCCCATAGGGAGTTCCACCGACGGCCCACGTGGCTGCTTTCGCATGCGCCCACCAGACAAATGTTGGCACATCCCTCGCACGTTTCGTGGCCCTATGGGGAGCTCCTCCGAATGCGGTGCACACAACGACGGTACTCACAACTGCATATGGTTGGGTCCTTCGCCAGGCTAATGTAATGGGGGCTCTCGCTTGGGAGTTCCTCAGACGTAGTGGTCAAGAGTGTAGAGCGTTTAGATTCTTGCCCAAGCAGCGCTCCCGCTTGACACAATGTCTGAAGTTCCTGATTTTACCTGGCCGCGCCTCAGAACTCGCTGGGAAAAAGCAAGCGAATCCCATTTCAAAACGGGGCTCTCGCAGAAACGATCGGCCCATCGGATGCTCGTCTTTCAAAGGGAGTGCTTCTTGTAGTGAAGGGGAAGCCTTGTAGGGACTTCGGTTTACTCTGGTCATCCTCCGCCTCCGCATCCTCGTCCTCGTCTTCGTCCTGGTTCTCCTCCTCCTCCTCCTCCTCCTCCTCCTCCTCCTATTCCTCCTCCTCCTCCTCCTCCAACCTTTTTGTATTATCCTTTTCCCGAGCCTCCTCCTTCGATGGTAACCTCAGCAACTCCATTCCTGGGTACGCTCTAGCTGTTTCCGAACTCTGGCTTTACGGCGGAGTAGTTTCTCTGTTCCACTGCATGCTCCTACATTTTCCGATTCAAAGCAAACTGCCCGACAATCGTTTCTGAATGGGCTGGTATAGATACGCGAAACGCCTATGATACGAAAAATAAGACCCATGGCAACAAACATGAAAAGGGTGGAGATGGGAGGGGGTTCCGGGAAAGAAGGTGGAGGATGGAGAAGGGAGATAAGAAAAGAGAGTTCGGATACATAAAGGAACGGCCAGGATTAGAGAAAGAGGACGAAGGAGGACGAAGAGGAGGGATGGGGCATGAACAGAACCGAAGGAGGACTGAAAAGGAGAAGCGAGGAGTCGACGAGAAAAGCGGAACAACGAGAGGAAGGGCAGAAAGTGAGGAGGCTGGCTGGCTGCACGCGACAGCCGTCATCGTCATCGTCGTCGACGTCGTCGACGTCATCGTCGTCGTCGCCGTCGTCGTCCCCCTCCCCCTTCAGGGTCGGCGACGACGGCCGCAAGGCCTTCACGATACGAGGACGCGGGGAGAAGGAGAGAGGGAGTAAGTGAGTGAGGGAGTGAGGAGGGAGTGAGTGAGGGATAGAAGGAGAGAGGGAGTGAGTGAGGGATAGAAGGAGAGAGGGAGGGATCGAAGGAGAGAGGAGGGAGTGAGTGAGTGGGGAGGGAGGGAGTGAGGGATAGAAGGAGAGAGGGAGTGAGGAAGGAGCAGGGCGGGAGCCGAGGGAGGGAGCCGAGGCCGAGAGGGGCGGCGGCCGTTCCCAAAGATACCAGCTCGGGGACACCTCCGTCGGGGCTGGCTCCTCCTCCTCCTCCTCCTCCTCCTCCTCCTCCTCCTCCTCCCCCTCCTCCTCCTCTCCTCCTCCTCTCCTGCTCCTCCTCCTCCCCTCCTCTCCTCCTCCTCCTCCTCCTCCTCCTCCTCCTCTACTACTCCTCCCCTCCTCCTCCTCCTCCTCCTCCTCCTCCTCCTCCTCCTCCTCCTCCTCCTCCTCCTCCTCCTAGAAGTGTTGCTAGAAGCTAGAAGTGCCCCCTGGCCCACGGTGCTCCCAGCTCCTCGCACCACTTTGGAGCCACCGGGGCCCCCTGGTCCTCGTGATGAGGTGCTCTGGAGGCCGTCAGGGCCACCCCGAGGATCCTGGGGGCACCTTGGGCCAGGGGTACTTCTGGCAACACCCGAGAGGGAGGCGAGGACAGGGCTCGCGCGACTGGTCCGGCTCGGGGGCGGGGGCCGTTCCCGAAGATCGGCTCGGGGAAACCTCCGTCGGGGCAGGAGCCGCGAGGGGGAGGAGGAGCAGACCGAGGATCCGGTGTTGCTAGAAGTGCCCCCTGGCCCAAGGTGCCCCCAGCTTCTCGCACCACCTTGGAGCCACCGGGGCCCCCTGAGCCTCGTGATGGGGTGCTCTGGAGGCCGTCTGGGCCACCCCGAGGATCCTGGGGGCACCTTGGGCCAGGGGGGCTTCTCCTAGACATGCGACGTCCTGAATTTTTCCAGACGGCGTCCCTGGAAGTCCGGGCACTTTCTTTCCCCGGTCCTTTCTTGGGGGGGGGGGAGAAGAGGGGGAGGAGGAGGAGGAGGAGGAGGAGGAGGAGGAGGAGGAGGAGGAGGAGGAGGAGGAGGAGGAGGAGAGACGGATAAAGGAGGAGGAGGAGGAGGGAGGAGGAGGAGGAGGAGGAGGAGGAGGAGGGAGGGGGAGGAGGAGGGGGGAGGAGGAGGAGGAGGAGGAGGAGGAGAGGAGGGGAGGAGTGAGGAGAGGAGGGAGGAGGAGGAGGGGGAGGAGAAGGAGGGGAGGAGGAGGGGGAGTGGGGAGGAGGAGGAGGAGGGGGAGGAGGAGGAGGAGGAGGAGGAGGAGGAGGAGGAGGAGGAGGAGGAGGAGGAGTTAGGAGGAGGAGGAGGAGGAGGGGGAATGAGGAGGGAGTGAGGAGGAGGGAGAGAGGAGGAGGAGGAGGAGGGGAGAGGAGGAGAGAAGGAGGGGAGGAGGATGAAGAGGGACGTGGAGGAGGAGGAAGAGGAGGACGGGGCTCACGCGACTGGTCCGGCTCGGGGGCGGGGGCGCCGCCTGGATCGGGGTGAGCGACTTCGTCTTCAGGCAGAAGGCCTCGGGCGGCGGCCCGTGCGCCCCATGTGCTCCTCCTCGTCCTCCTCGTCCTTCCCCCCCTCCTCCTCGTCCGCCTCTTCCTCCTCGTCCGCCCTTCCTCCTCCTTCTCCTCCTTCCTCCTTTTCCTCCTTCCTCCTTTTCCTCCTCTTCCTCCTTGTCGTCCTCTTCCTCTTCCCTTCATCCACCAGTTTCTTTCCATCCATCCTTCCCACCCCCTCTCTCCTCCCAATTTCCTTTCCTCACCTCCCCCCTCCTCCCCCAGATCTTCTTTTCCGCCCTCCTCCTCCTCCTCTTCCTTCTCTTTCCTTCCTGCCTGCCTCCTCTTCCTTCCCCATACCTCCTCCTCCTCCTCCTCCTCCTCCTCCTCCTGCTCCTCCACTTTCGTCCTCCCCTACTTCTTCGTGTTTCTCCGTTTCGTTTTTGTCGTCGTCGTCGTCCTCGTCCTCGTCTTCGTCGTGCTCGTCCTTCTCCTCCTCCTCCTCCTCCTCCCCTATTCTACATGATACTCCGTTATAGTCTTCTTGTTCTGCTGATTTGTAAAATCATTCCTCCTCCTCCGATTATGATTAGCGTTGTTCGTGTTAGTCCGTATTCCCTTACCTATACGACCACCCGTCTGGTGATAAGGAGGTTGCGGGGAAGGGGGTGGCCGAACCCGCTTACGACAACTGCGACGATTGTGACGGCGACTGTGCTGGTGATGCTCTCACGAGCTGGCAAGGGTGCATTATGACGATGCAGGATCTTACTTGTCGCCGCCTATCACGAAACAAGTGTCTATTCATCTGAGAGTTCGCGAACACCAGCGCACAACACGTGAAGGAGCGCGCGCCTGCACATCTACAAGTCATTTTCCGTTTTCGCTAGCGCTCGCAAGGGCGGGCGCTGTCAGCATGGGCAAAGCCTGGCGCTCGTGGAATCGCACATGCCAGTCGGGTTCACCCTTGCACCCCGCGGCGACGCATTCACGCGCCCCACATTCGCATGAAAACGGGGCGCAGTGTCGATTGAAGGTCGGCATTGACAGAGCCTGGTGCCTTCCCAAAGGCTGCTGCATCTATGCTCAATTGCTGTCGGCGGCGACGACTCCGAAGACGAAGACGCAGTCCTGGCCATAGTTATAAGCCAACAGCACTGGTCGCTCACTCGCTGGAAAGGTTCGCAGACGCTGCAGCGGGTGCATCTCCCCACCCCTGTCGGCGGCGGTGCCCTGTCGGCGGCGGCGTCCAGTGGGCGGCGCGTCTTGGCCCCGGCACCGCGGCTCGTTCGGCGGGAGGCGGAGAAGGAGGCTGGGGCGGCTCGCGCCCTGCGCCGGCGGCCCTTCCACAAGCTGGGAACTGATCGGCCCCGCGGTTGGCCGACTGGCGCGTTGCGCGCCCGCAGTTGCTTTGTGCGCTCCGCCCTGTCTCCCCCGTCCCGAAGCTGCGCCGCGTGGGCCAAAGCCACTTGGCGCGGGCCGCCGAAGCGGGCGGGCTTGCGCGCCGGGGGCGGGCTTGGCTACCTCTGCGGCTCCGCTGCCAGTGGCCAGCTGCACGCCTTGGGGGGCGCTCGGAAACTGGCAGGTCGCAGCGGCGCCTGTGCCCCCCGTTCCTCGCCCGCGGGGGGCGCGTGGACCCCTGCGTCAACGCCGCTGGGGGGCGCGTCACCGCGCTCGCGGACTGGCGGGGCCCGGCCCGAGCCCGCGCCCGTGCCGCGCCCGGCCATCTCGGCGGGCGTCTTCGGAGGCGCTTTGACAACCGCGAGTCGCAGCAGCGCCCGCGCCGCCCGCTCCGCCCCCAGTGCGGAGGCGCTCCTGCGCCAGCAGAACCGCCGCGAGAAGCGCTTTGAAACCTGCGCCGGCGACGCCGGAGCGGACGTCGCCACGCTCGCGGGCTGGCGGGGCCTGTTCCGAGCCCGCGTCCGCGCCGTGCCCAGCCATCTCGGCGGGCGCCCCTGCTCGTGGCTGCGCTGGCCCGCTCGGGCCCCAAGTGCTGCGTGCGCATCTGAACTAATCGCAACTGCGACGGTCGCGACGGCGGCGCTCGCGGCGTCGGCGCGCTCGCGCGTCGGCCGCGAAGCACGATGGCAACGCCGGCGACAATGCTCGACGTCAGTTCTGATGGCGGCGATATGCGGCGGCGGGCGCGGGCGCTGAGCGGGGCCTCGCATGGGGGGCAGCGCGCATCAGTCTCGCGCTGCCGCGTGATTGCGGCGATGGTAGTCAGATCGAGATCCCGGTGATGTCAGCGACGCGGCTTGGGCGGGCTGCGGTTGCCGCCGCCGCCGCCGCGCTCTCGCCCAGAGACGTGGGCAGCTCTCCTCTGGCTCGTCGAAGTTGTCGCCCGAGACTGGTGCGACATCCGGGTGGCGGGGGGCCTCCTCTGCGCACCTCGGCCACTCTTCCGCATCTCCCGAGCTCTCGACTCGGCGCTTCGGGAGCGGTCGCGAGGGGCGCCCCGGGCGCCCGACGCACTGGCAGGGCCCGGCGCCGCCGCAGGCGCCCGCGCGTGGTGGTTCGGGGCGGCCGCCGCCGCCTGGGCTGAGGAAGCAGCGCCCGAGGCGTTGGCCGAGTCCGGTGCCGCGACCTCCCGGCGCTGCCCCTTCGCCCGTGCGATGATCGCACCTTCCGCGCCATTGGGGCTCCAACTGAACTTGCGGCAGCTCGGGATGAAAGTCCCAGACCCACAGGCGCCAGGAGCGAATTCATTGAGCACGCCGCACACGCGCTCATCCCTGGTTCGAGCCCCATTTCTCATGGCTGAATAGCGACGGGTCAAACTCTCCGTCGTGCGCGCGCAGACGCTGGCGCACGAGGCCAGCCGCGCGCGCGCCAGCGTTTGCAGTCGCAGCCTCCGCGGCTGCGTCCTGCAGCCGCGCCGAGGTGTGCACTGGCAGGGCCCGAAGCCCCAGGTCCGCGCCGGGCTGGTTTGCCGACGGCTGGGCCGGAGGGATTGCCCAGTGCACTGGACGAAGAAAGGACTCTGACGGGGACGAGCCGACGAGAGCGGCAACCGCGTGGAGGCATGCGATCTCACACGCTTCGTCTTTCGCTCTGCCCTCGCCGTGCGCAGCGAAACGACGGCCATTTCCGTCGGCAGAGGAGCGCGTCACGTCCAAAGTGAGCTGCCAGTTGGCGCTGGCAGAGCCTGGCGCCGATAATTCCTTGCACGCCGATATGGCTTGCACCATCTGCCCGCCGCGGCGCTTTGGGCGCGTGGATGCTTGGTTGTTCTGCGCGGTGTGCCACCGGATCTCGTTGGCGCGGCGCTCGAAAAAATCCGCCGACCCTGTCGGCGTGTGGAATGGGTTGTTCGTCGTGGTTGTTGTCCTCGTACGTACTCGTCGTCTTCTTTTCTGGGTCCGTCGCCGCTCCCCCCCTCTTTCCCTGGGCCGTCGTCCTCAAGCGCGCCAGCCAAAGCGAAATGAAACAACCAAGCCAAAGCGAAGTTCACAACGTTGTCATTGAGTCGAAGGGATTGATCCCTTCCCTTCCCCGCCAGACGGGGTGGGTAGGGTCCCGGGGGGGGGGGGCCGGGTCAGAATACCATCCTCCGTTTGCGGCTTTTACAGAGGGGCCCTCTGTAGATGCGCTGGAGAAGGGGGGGGTCGCCACGACGGATCCGCCCCTAGACGGCCCAAGCCCCACAAGACAGCCCAAGAACGCCTAAGGACGGCCAAAGGGAGCCCCCAGACGGGCCAAAAGAGCTCCCAAAGAACTCTCAAGAAGGCTGAGGGAGGCCATATTCATGGATTTTCGGAAAGGTTGTCCCCGCCCTCCCCCTCACATTTCCGTCGAGGGCCGAGGCCTCCGAATTGATTGCTCCTACTCGCTTCCTCTCGCTGCTCCACCACTCCTCCTCCTCCTCCTCCTCCCTCCTCCTCCCTCCTCCTCCTCTCCTCCTCCTCCTCCTCCTCCTCCTCCTCCTCCTCCCCCCCCCCCCCTCCTCCCTCCCCCCCTCCTCCTCCCCCTCCTCCTCCTCCTCCTCTCCTCCTCCCTCCTCCCTCCTCCTCCTCCTCCTCCTCCTCCTCCTCCTCCTCCTCCTCTTCCTCCTCCCTCCTCATCCTTCCCCCCCCTCCTCCTCCCTCATCCCGCCTCCCCCACCCCTTCCTCTTCCCTACCACTCCTCCTCCTCCTCCGCCTCCTCCCCCCCCCTCCGCTCGTTTTCACCTCCGTCGTCTTCAGGCTCGGCGGCACCGGCCGTCAGGCCTTCGCAGTACACTTCAGCTGCGGTGGTGCCGGCGCGCCTGCCTGAGCGGGTGGCTGCGATGGCGCCGGCGCGAGCCTGGCAGACCCGTCCCGTCTCGGCTGGCAGAGCCTGGCTGAGAACAAAGTGCGCCCGCGGGGAAGATCAGGAGGAGGAAAAGGGGGAGGAGGAGGAGGGAGGAGGAAGGAGGAAGGAGGAGGAGGAGGAGGAGGAGGAGGAGGAGGAGGAGGAGGAGGAGGAGGAGGAGGAGGAGGAGGAGGAGAGGGGGGCATCTTGGGAGCCTGGGTAGCGGTGGCAACGTGCGTCATGATTGGAACTGCGATCGTGGTGTTGACGATGGCGACAATTGGCGGCAGCGGCTCCGACGCCGCGCGCCCGACTTTTTTGGCCGTCACGGGGTGGGCACCTGAAGACACCGTGGGCCCAAATGAGGGCACCATCGGGGCACTATGTGGACACCATCGAGACACGGTGTGGGTGCCAAGTTGAGCAGAGCATCCGCGGCGTGATTGTGGTGTAGGTTGTGACTGTGGTTGAGATGGCGATGGTGTTTGTGATGGTTGATTGGTGGCTGTGCTTGTGCGTTGATGTGATTGAGAAATTTGATGATGTGATTGTGATGGCGATTCAGACGGTTGATTGTGATAGTTGATTGTGATGGCTGTGATGACTGCGTCTGCGCTCGCGCCAGTCTCCGAGTGAAATACACGCGCCAATGGCCCGACCTCGGCACTGGTCCGCGATGTCCAACTGGTCTGAGCTGGCGGCGGCACCCGAGGCACTGGTAGAGTCTGGTGCTGTGGGCGGCAGCGTGTCGCTGCTGGCGATAAGCGCCATCGATCCCCCTATCATCTACCGATCTCACTATCGATCTCACTATCGACCCCACCAGTGGCATGTACTAGTCCGCGCGAACATTTTCATCTCGCAGAACCAACACGGCTGACAAGCGCATTGCAAAGCCTGGGCGCCCCATCGGGAAACCATCGGGACACCAACCGGGACACCGCCAGGACACTACCACGACACCTCTGGGACCCCGTCGGGGCACCACAGGGGCACCATCGATAAACCACCTGGTCACCACCAAGGCACCATCGGAACACCATCGGGACACCACGGGACACCATCGGGGCACCAGGAAAGCACCACTCGGGACACCAATCGGGACGCCGCATTATTATTATTATTATTATTAGTATTATTAGTATTGTTATTATTATTATTGTTGTTATTATTATTATTATTAGTATTAGTATTAGTATTATCACTAGTATTATTACTATTATTATTCTTATTATTATTATTATTACTAATATTAGTATTATTGTTGTTATGTTTAATCATATTATGTCAATAATTACTAAAATTCATAGTATTAATATTATTATTAGTAGTATTATTATTATTATTATTACTATTATTATTAGTATCATTACTCATATTATTATTCGTAGTATTATTATTACTCTTATTAATATTAGTATTACTATTACTACTACTACGATTATGATGACTACTATTGCCATTACTATTATTATGATGCGTTTCTCTTTTTCTGCTTCCTCCTCCTCCTCCTCCCCGTCCTCCCCCTCCTCCTCCTCCTCTTCCTCCTCCTCCTCCACCTCCTCCTCCTCCTCCTCCTCCTCCTCGTCCTCCTCCTCCTCGCCGTCGTCAGGCATGGATGGCTCCTGCCCCCCTCGCCCCCCCCCGCACCCCGCTCTCGCCTCCGCGCGCCCCTGCGGCGCGGGCACGAGCGGGGGGGGGAGGGCCGCGGGGAGAGGAGGAGGAGGAGGAGGAGGAAGGAGGAGGAGGACGAGGAGGAGAGAGAGGAGGAGGAGGGGGCCTCGATGAAGATGATCACGAACTTGTTGGCGTTCACGAGCACCAGGAAGCTGGCGGCCGCGGGAGGGGGGGGGGCGCACGGGGGCCCCGTCGGCAAGAAGGGGGGGGGGGAAGAGGGAGGCTCACCTCCCATCCTCCTCCTCCTCCTCCTCCTCCTCCTCCTCCTCCTCCTCCTCCTCCTCCCTCCTCCCCTCCTCCCTCCTCCTCCTCCTCCTCCTCCTCCTCCTCCTCCTCCCTCCTCCTCCTCCTCCTCCTCCTCCTGGGAGGGGGCTCCCAGAGGACCAGCGGCGGGGGGGAGGGAGGGGGGTAAGCGGGAGAGGGAGAAGAGGGGAGAGACAGAGAGGCGGCTAACGAAAGAAAAAGAGATAGAGAGAGAGACGGAAGAAGAGGGAAGGAGAGGGTCGGGAGGGAGAAAGACTGAGAGAGAGAGGGGGGGAGAGACAGAGAACGAGAGAGAGAGAGAGAGAGAGAGAAACAAAAAAAACAGAAGAGAGCGGGAGGGGAAATCCGCCGACCCTGTCGGCGCGTGGAAGAGGCTGTTCCGTTTGACTCATCGTCGTCGTGGTCGTTGTCGTCGTCGAGCGCGCCAGCCACAGCGCAATTGAGCAACGTTGTAGTGGAGTCGAAGGGGAGCCCCTTCCCTTTTGATCCCTTCCCCGCCCGGGGGGGTGGTCCCAGGGGAAGTCCCCGAGAAGTCCCGGGTCAGATACGACTCACCCCCGAGCGGGGGCCCAGAAAAGCGTCAGGACGCAGCAAAAATGCCCCCAAAATGCACCCAAGACGGTCCTCGAGGGCCCCGAATCGCCGAAACATCGGTCCAAGTCGTCAAAATAGCCTCCAGACGGCTCAGAAGGTTAAGGTTTCCCACACGTCCTAAGAGGCCTCCACGAGGATTTCAAAGAGGGCACCAGGGAAACAAAATCATCGATTTCCCTTAGCTTTTTGATAGATTTAGGCATTCTCGCCTTGTCAGCTTCCCGACGCTCCAAGACAGGCCAAGAGGCCCCCAAGACTGCCCCAAGATGGCCCAAGAGGGGTCCAAGAGAGCCCCAAAACGACCCAAGAGGGCCTCAAGACCGTCCAAGAGGTCTCCAAGACCGTCGAAGAGGCTCCCAAGACGGTTGTAAGAGGGAGCCCAGACGCGGGACCCGAACGGACATTTCGAGCCCTCGGCTTGAGAAGCTCTCAGGAGACCCCGAGAGGCCCCTAAGAAGCCCCCCAAGAAGCCCAAACAGGCCCCCAAGAGACCCCCAGGAAGCCCCAAGAGGCCCCCGCGAGGCTCCCAAGCGGCCCCCAAGAGCTTCCTAAGAGGCCCCAAATCTACCCCCAGGAGGCACCCGAGAACTTCGTCGTTGCGGTCGTGGTTGTCGCCGCCATGCAGGGTCGGCGGCACCAGCCGGAAGGCCTTCGCAATAAACACGGACACACATACATCCATATATACATGCATGCATACATGCATACATACATGCATAAGTACATAAATATGCATATACGTATACATAGACATAGACATATACATATACACATGCATCTACATATACATATACATATACATATACATATATGTGTATATACATATATATATATAAATATATGCGCCATCGGATGGCTTGCCCCAGGAAGACCATCGGCAACGGCCCCATGCCCCGGGCAGAGGATGAGAAACCGTCACAAGCGTAAACGTTTGCAGCTGTGCGCCGATGTCTGACATCGGCGCTGGAACCCCTCCCTGGCGTGCAGAGCGCGCCAGGGGCGGCGCTAGAGGCGCCGCAGGGCAGCCCCAACGCCAACCCAAGAAATCCGCGCAGAGCTCCAAAAACTCATGCTCATGCCGCATGCCCTTTTCATGATTCCTTCAAACGGCGAGGACGACGAATCCCGGGGGCGGCCAAGAGAGGAATGTCCAAGAGGGGGAGTGCAAATCATGACCGGCGGCATGTGCGCGGCCCAGGGGGGGGGCCAAGGACGTAATGAAACAAGAAGAGGCGCCGTGAAATCTGGGGAGATAGCATGGCCCCCGCCACGATATCCCCCCTCCCAGCCATCACCCCCCTCTTGGCCGCCCCCGAGATGCGCGGCGGCGACCACGAGCCGGGGCCCCGTGCTCCGGGAAGGCCTGGTTGCGCTGATCAGGCTCTGGGCCCAGATGCCCGTGTAGCTGATGGCGACACCCACGACGCAGCTGATGGGCCGGGCGGCCGTGCGCAGAGAAGGCGCGCGCTGGCGAGAGGTGAGGAGGAGGAGGAGGAGGAGGAGGAGGAAGGAGGAGGAGGAGGAGGAGGAGGAGGAGGAGGAGGAGGATAGGAGAGAGGAGGGAGGAGGAGATGAGGAGGAGGAGGAGGAGGAGGAGAGGAGGAGGAGGCGGAGGAGGAAGGAGGAGGAGAGGAGGAGAGGAGAGGAGGAGGGGAGAAGAGGAGGAGGAGGAGGGAGGAGGAGGAGGAGGAGGAGGAGGGAGGTGAGAGGAGGAGGAGAAGAGGAAGAGGAGGAGGAGGAGGAGGAGGAGGTAGAGGAGACGGAGGAGGTAGAGGAGGAGGAGGAGGAGGAGGAGGAGGAGGAGGAAGACCAGTGCAAACCCAAGACTCATCAACAGTGTTGGGATACACCCTCCCGCCAAGCTCCGTCTGCATAGACCCCATACAAGGATTCACTTCCACTAAGGGAACTGCCCCGTTGGGAGACAACCGTTCTCATGACTTCAACGCCACGAGTCAATATGATTGTTGCGTCTTGACGACCCTGCACCGCGAATCAACGTAACTGTTGCGCCCTGAAAAATGTTTAAGACGAGTGTGCGCGGCGCTGAAACGAGAGCCACAATAAAAAAAACGGCCCGCCTCAATCACTGAAACTATTGCAAGTTTAAGACGAATGCACGCGGCGCTACAGCGACAGCCACATTTTGAGAACCATCCGCCCTCAATCCGTGAAGCGATTGCAAGTTTTCAGACGAGTGCACGCGGCGCTGAGGCGAGAACCACATGTTGAAAACAACCCGCCCTAAATCCGTGCAGCTGTTGCACATGTTTCAAGCGAGTATGCGCGGCGCTAAAGCGAGAGCCACATTTTGAAAACCATATTCTGCGTTTCATGCTCGTAGATGGTAAGGAAGTTTCAGGCGAAACGCAGGGTCTGCCCTTCCGACTGGCCTCGGGGTGCGACAAGGAGGAACTACTCATAAGGGACCGGAATGGAAAAAAAGGAATGGCAGGAAGAGGAGGAGGAGGAGGAGGAGGAGGAGGAGGAACAGGAGGAGCAGGAGGAAAAGGAGGGGGAGGAGGAGACGGAAGAGAAGGAGGAGGAAGAGGAGGAGGAGGAAGAGGACGAGGAGGAAAATGACGAGGACTATGATGAAAATGACGATGACGATGACGATGATGCTGATGATCATGATGATGATGCTGATAGTGATGATGATGATGATGATGATAGTGATGATGATGATGATGATGATGATGATGATGACCATGAGGATGATGGTGATGATGTTAATGATGACGCGGATGATGGAGATGATGATGTTGAGGAGGAGGATGAGGCTGAGGAGGAAGAGGAGCAGGACAAGGAGGAGGAGGAGGAAGAGGAAGAAGAGGAAGTGGAGGAGGGAGAGGAGGAAACGGAGGAGGAGGAGGAGGAAGGAGGAGGAGACAGACAAACAGGCAGACAGACAGACTGACATAAAGACAGACACACAGACATACAGACAGACAAAGTGACAGACTGACAGACAGACTGACAGACAGATACGTAGACACAGAGACACAGAGACACAGAGACACAGAGACACAGAGACACACAGACACACAGACAGACAGACAGACAGACAGACAGACAGACAGACAGACAGACAGACAGACAGACAGACAGACAGACAGACAGACAGACAGACAGACAGACAGACAGACAGACAGACCAGACAGAAAGACAGACAGACTGACTGACAGACAGACGGACAAACAAAAGGACATACAGAAGCGCGGAGGCAGTCTGTCCACGCGACCAGGGCATTGGCGAGCAGGCCGGCAACACACGCGCCGGCAGGCAGGCTGTGGCGCTGCGGGCGCCCTGCCGCGGGGCAGCTCCCCAAACTGCCAGCCGCAGCGCCGACGCCCCGGCGGCGGCGGCGCCCGTTGCGCGCCGCCCCCAGCCAGCAGCGCAGGCAACGGGGCGCTGCTGCGCCAGGGCAGCGCCGCGGGGGTGCGCGCCGGCCAACGCCACAGGCAGCCGCGCGCTGCAGCTCCGAACGCGCCCGGCCGCGCCCCGCCCGGCTGGCAGGGCGGCCCGCGGCCGCGCCGCGCAGGCCGCGCGCCGCCGCTGGAGCCTCGGGGGCCGCCGCCGCCGCCTGCGGCACTGCAGCGTCTGCTGCCCTGGCGCTGGCGCGCCGCCCGCCGCCGCCTCGGCGCAGGCCCGCGGCCGCGCGCAGCTCGCGCGCCAGTTCGCCCTGGCGAGCAGCAGGCGAGCGCGCTCGGCGCGCGCGGGCGAGCTCGCGGGCCCGATCGGCGTCGGGCGAACGGCGCACCTCGCTCTTCAGCCGAAGGCGCGCCTCGGCCCCGAGACGCCCACCTGCCTTCAGCCAAACGCTCGCCGGGGTACCGCGCGCGTCTGTCTCGCTCGCCGCGCCGGCTCGCCTCGCCGTCGCGGCGGGCCGCGACCCGCTGCTCCGTCGCGGTGCCCGCGGCTGGGTGCCTCATGGACAAGCGGGGCCAGAAAACCCCGTCGTTGTCCAGGAACTCGAGGTCGAGCACGGGGCGTTTCGTTTCCGGCGGGGTGGCCCGGCCGCGGCCGATCCCACAGCGGGACCAGCTGCTAATATAGGGCGGGAGCTCGTGCCTCCAGACCGCAGGGCCGGTCTGCTGTATGCCTGCGCTCCACCCCGCCGCCGCTCCGGCAAGCGGCGCCGTGATGGCCGAGGTCGGCAGGTGGCTCCGCGCAGACCTCGCCGCTGGCGTTTTCTCAGGCAGCTCTGTCGGCTACGCGCAGGAGTGTGGGTAAGAGTGACCTTTGGTGCGCGGCTTTTGGGGGGCCGCGGGGGGGCCACACCTGGGCGCACAAGCCGCTGCTCCTGCTTCGTTCTCAACCATCCGGGGACCCACCTGTGCCCGCACCAAAGGTCACTTCGGCGAAAGGTCACCCTTACGTCTAATCGAGACTGGGCCGCCACCGCGCGCGCTATAACCATCGACGGAATCACCAGCCTCAAGCCCTGCGGACGCGCTGGCATACGTCGGTTCATCTCGCTTCTGCCCGCGCCCAGCAAGGAACTCAACGCGCGCCCGTCCAGGGGCTGCCGCGGACCGCAGCCCTCGACACTCTCCAGAGGCGCGGTGGGTTCGGTCCCGATTGGCTGGTAAGCATTGATCCTGGGAGCACCCGGGCCTCGGGGAGTGCAGCCGCAGCCGAGCAGCCGCCTCCCGGGGCGCGTCCTCGAGCGCGCGGGGCGCCCCGGCGGGGTAGCCCAGGGAGGCTGCCGCGCCCGGCCCCGCCGGGAGCTCGTAGGGTGGCGCGTTGGAGGGGCGGCGGCCAGGCAGGCAGGCAGGCAGGCAGGCAGGCAGGCAGGCAGGCAGACAGACAGACAGACAGACAGACAGACAGACAGACAGACAGACTGACAGACAGACAAACAGACAGACAGACAGACAGCTAGACAGCCAGCTACACAACCACACTGACAGACTGACTGACCTAAAGACAGACAGACAGCTACACAGACAGACAGACAGACAGACAGACAGACAGACAGACAGACTGACGTAAAGACAGACAGGCAGGCAGACAGACAGACAGACAGGCAGACACAAACCCTGGGATCCAGTGGCCTCCACCGCGCGCGTCGCCGCATTGCACGCCTCAGCCGTGACCACAAACATGCTGGATCTGGGGCTGTGAAACTCTCTCGCGGCAGGCACGGGCCGAGGAGAGCGTGCGTGGCTCGGGCGTGCCAGCGAGCCTCCGGGGTGCTCGACCGCCGGATGGCCCCGAGAGCGGATCTAGGCACCCTTCGTGCTCGTAGTGGCAATACAGTCGGGGGCGTTGACCTAAGGAACCCAAAATAAGGAACGAGGCCCCTTTTTTCCATGAGTTAAACTTCGATTTCCGATCGAAAACATAAGGAAAACCTGAGGCAAGCTGCGAAACACTTAAGGAACGCGGAGCCCCTCCCCAACGAAAAGGGTTCCTTCTTCAGGGCCCCGACTGTAGCCCGTTGGCACAACTCGCCTCGAACTAAAACATCGTTTCGTACATCGGAGTGCCATGCTCAAGTGGGCGGGCAGCGTGCTGGCCAAAAAAAGTGCGCATGGCGGTCACGCGGGAAGAGGGAGGGGAGGGACAAGTTGCAACTAGCAGCCGGGAAGCACATAGCAACGAGAGGACATGACGCTGGCAGCCCAAAACCGGGAAAAGGGGAAACAGCGTACCGAACAACAGTTTGGTACGCTACAGAATTCGGCCTGACCTAAGGAACGAGAAATAAGGAACGAAGCCCCTTTTACTCCAAGAAGGTCTACGAAGTTCGAAGGAACACCAGGGGGACTCGCCGCCAAAAAGGTCGCGGAACGCATGCAAACCAGAAGAACAGCCTAGCCCTTTTCTGAGGAGTAGGTGCTCCCTACTCGAGCCGGACCCTGTATTCCCCCCCCTGTTGGCGTGCCGAAGCCACACCCAAACCAGAAGGGGAACATGTCCCTACAGAACGACCGCCGTGTACGGAACCTCCCCCAGCATGGTGGGAACGCGGTGCCAAATTGCCCTGCCAGGGCGGCCTCGCCGCGGCAGGCCTCTCGCACCAGCCGCCCGCGCGTGCCCTCGCTGGGAGGGAGGCGGAGGAGGAGGAGGAGGAGGAGGAAGAGGAGGAGGAGGAGGAGGAGGAGGAGGAGGAGGAGGAGGAGGAGGAGGAGAGGAGGAGGAGGGGGGAGGAGGAGGGGGGAGGAGGAGGAGGAGGAGGAGGAGGAGGAGGAGGAGGAGGAGGGGGGGAGGAGGAAGAGGAGGGGGAGGAGGGGGAGGAGGGGGAGGAAGAGGAGGAGGAGGAGGAGGAGTTTGTTTCTCGTTATGTTTCTCTCTTTCTCTCTCGTTTTGTTTGTTGTTTCTCTCTCTCTCTCTATCTTTCCCTCTTCCCGTTCAGGCCAGATCCTCGCAAGCCTCTGGAAAACGGACCCTATTTTGGGGAACGCGTACAACCTGCTCAGA